ATATATATATATATATATATATATGCGTGCGCGCGCGCGTACTCACTTGATACGCAAATATTATAATGCGCGTTATCACACAATGCACGTTTTTGGCGAAGATTATAATAAACGTGGGAGCGACTTACATAAATACTTGCATATACATGTTTATTATAATTTTCATCTCGTTAGCATGATAAATCTTTTTTCTTTCTCTTATCTCTTCATATAATTAGTATGTATACACGTAGGTATGTGCACTTTCTTTTTCTCATCTCGTTCAATCTATCTCTTCATCGTTCGCTGCACACTTTTCCTTCGTTGGAAAAGTCGTTGGAGTAAACTTCATCCCCGAGTAAGTCTCACGCGTCGTGCGCGCGTCAGTACGAAAACGGATGACATTTTTTTTCTCACATCTGTACACATCACATCGCACTTTCGTTGGCCCAAGCGAAACTCGCTGTCACGACGCTCTTGACATATTAGTAAAATCATATTTCGTCCTATATATATGTATACATGTATATGCTATTTTGTATTTTTCTTTCTAAGAAAACTCGCTCGAATCTGACGTCGCGCTGCCGTTCCAGATGAGCGATAGGTGAAATCAGTACTTCGACCGCGGGGAAATGACGTATATAAAATCTGTTTTAAATCTCTATTTAATAGTGCAGGGACTGACAAAACAACCGAAATTTATTAATATATTGTTGCAACATTTATATTGTTATAAAAAATTAGTCACAATATTTTTTATATTGCAGTATGCTGAACGGTACACATGTATTTGTGTTTCCCGCATTAAACCTTTACGAGGGTGTACCGAACGCAGAAATTGCGCAGTAAAATTTGTTTTAAATGATCACGACGAAATGTCGAAATAACTGAAATTCATTAATCCGCATTAATATGCCATTTATATCAAATTAATCAGAATATATTTCTTAATACCCCACAGAGCAAGTGCAATGGCATATGCACAGTTCTCAAATTAAACGCTTATTTGCCCCGTCCATAATAACATTGCATGCAATTTTCATTTGAAATATATAAATTTTAACATCCGGCAGTTACACATAACGCTGATTACGCTGTATAAATGTGAATTAATGTTTTTTGAACTTTATTTAAACTCATTTACTTTATTTTATGATTTATTTTATAAGTACTATATATATATATATATATATATATATAAGCCAGTAGAATTTTTATTTTTATACCACGTTCACAATGACAAAGTGGTACTAAAGAAACGAAATACGTGCGGCGACGCGCAAAATATGAATTATGTTAAAAATAGGTATCTTATACAGTTGGCATTATAATTATACATCCCGCTCATTTCTCGTACTGTCCCTTGAAATACTCAAGTCACGCAAAAGCATTAAAAGCTATCATTAAAACAGCCTTGAAGCACATGTGTAGTCAAAACTGTAATTAAAGTGACAAAAGGGTATGACAGTAAGGGGGACGCCATTTGTTGTATTCTATGTACCAACATTTTAACACTATTTTTTTAGCAGTTTACTCTACAAAACACATTTACTCTTAAATCTATGTAGGATAATAAGCGATTATTTGAGTATATATGAACAATACAATATGTAAATAATAGTCAGGCTTATCTCGAAAAAAGATATATAGCGAGAAATAATGCACATGTAATATTTGGATAGAAACTATTTTTTTATTAATATTCTATACACCATGAAATTAACTTAATTAATCTATACTATTATTTACACACACACATATATATATATATAATGCCAATGATGATAATGTTTTCAAACATTTCTCTCAGTGTTAATACAATAATTTTAATATCCATGTGTACATGGAAATTTGGACCAGTAAATCATCGCACTAAGTGCAGACTTGCGCGAGCTGTTTTATAATAAATTTTTAACGTGCCGTGAACCCTTCGTAGTTCAGGACCCCTCTGTTAGTCCCGCAAGGCTTCGGGATTTCAGTCGATCGAATAAACGAATAAAGCCATCTCCTACTATATATGATTCTTCGGATACCAATGAAACTGACCTGTACAAAGATTGACCTTTTTTTTATATATATACTATGTCTACTTATTTAATATACGTTGATCGCCTTTCATAGATAGAAAAATTATAATATTAATACTTCATCGTGCAAGTCCTTTTTGATAATTTTTACGAATGGCAGTCAGTCTACTTGTAAGCTTCACAAACATGAACTCATGAACCGCACGGTAAACAGTTTATTCCGTTAGTGAGTAATATCGGCTATTTCGCCTTTGCACTCCATGATCAATCGTCCTTCGCATCGGAAGTCGGAAGTTGAAAGACGGAACTAAAAGAGAAAAGCGCTACTATACCCAATAGATCGTTACAACGACGCTTCGACACAAACTCTATAGGAAAAAAAAAAAAAAAAAAAAAAAAAAAGAATAGGTCGGTAAGAGATGGAACGGTTGGCATACGTAGGACGCAGATGAGAGAATCGTCGGGACGCAGAGGGTAGGTACGGTAGGGCGGAGGGACACTGTGCGAGTTTGGCGGCAGTCGTTTTCCGAGGGATGGTTGGGCGGAAGGTTCCCGCGGGGCCTGTGTTATCGCCTCGGCAGGATGACCAGCCCGCGGTATCAAATATTAAACCTACTTGCACCCGGCAGCCTATCCTCGACAAGATATCCAAACCTTCCCTCTGCCGTCCCGCGCACCGCGACCAACCGGCCTGCCCTAACCGACCTACCACGTATACCACATCGCCGTGCACCAACGGCTACCATCAAAACCTACGCCTAGCCACTACATCTCTATCTCTCCACTTGCTGCTGTGCTTACGTTGTTTGTTCGTATAATGCCGGATATTCGTGGCCAGGAGTACAATTCGCCGCCGCGCAGCTATTTCGTACAAAGGTACCTCGGCAAAAATTGTTTTCTGACGATATTAAGAAGGTAACGAGAGAGAAAGAGAGAGAGAGAGAGAGGGGGGGGGGGGGGGGGGAGACGAAGAAGAAAGTCTGTGGAGTTATTGATATGTTGGTCGAATATATCTATGGTTAATCACGCGGAGTAATGCACTCAAAATTAAAACAATGTGATGTCGTGAAATTTAAGAGATTCTTATAGAGTCTAATGTCTGCTAAAAATTAATTTATTATTGTAAAAGAAAGGTTAATGGAACGTGGATATACATCACATGTAGATACGTATATCTGAAACGATGCATTTGTTACATATTAAAAATGATCAAATATACATACGAAGAGAGAAAAGATGAAGGGAAATTAATAGGTACACATAAGATATAAATATAAGATATGATTTCTTTTTGTCGTGACCTTTATTTCTGCAAATTCTTAAATAACGATGGTATTATTTATGCATAATACATGGAGTACATGTGGAAAGCGTCATAAAAGAATAATTACGAAAAGAATATTACTGTATTCTAGTTATGCATAAAAATACAAGAATGATGCACTCTATATCAACGTTGCGTCCACGCTTAATAATTAACATATATATAATTTAATACATGTCGTTATATAGTTTTGCCAAGCGTACGATAACAGCTTTATTAATATTTAATATTTTTAATCACGTT